CTATTTTTTTGGTTTTTATGTAAGAACCACTGGAAAAAAATAAATATAATATTTTAATCACTTATAATTTAAATATAACATTTTAACAATTTTTTTCATTATATATTTATGTGAAAATTTTGGATGATTAAAATATTATATTAAAATTTAATATATATAAAATATTATATTTAATTCTTGGGAAAAGTGCATACATAGAACCCAAATTTTATGGATTTCTCCATCTCACATATGAACTTACTTTTTTACGCTCATAGGGCTGAAAAATTATTTCATGCATGCGGTGTCCGATCCGGACCGGATTCGGACCGTAAATCACCTGATTTATGGTCCGGATGTATTTCAGTGGGCCCCACCTAAATTAAAAAAAAAACGGAAATAATCCTTATCGTAAATCACCGTGATCTACGATCAGGATCGGACACCGCATGCAGAGATGCATGCGGTGTCTGTATGCAATAATTTCTCCATAGAGCTTTACATATGGATAAAAACATAGATTTGACAATTAAAATATGATGATAAGTGCTACTTTTTATGTGATGTTTGTATTTATGAAAATTTACAGGTGAGATAGGCAAATATAAAAATTTTGGATGCTGCTTATGTAAAAGTCCATTTTTTTTGTTTTTTTTTTGTTTTTTTTTTGCTAAGAGCTAGGAGAATATTCTATTGTAATTTTGAGATTCTTCACATGTTTTTCAGCCTCTGAGAGACATTAGTTTTTGACAGGTTCTGGCATTGAAATTAAAATCGCCCAAGTTCTAAGCTCAGAAGTCAGAAGAGGAAGCCTGAAGGAATGGCACTCATCTGTGCATCCGCAGCCACAGTGAGTCTCGAAATTACTTCACTTTATCGCTTCTGCAACTCCTTTCTCATTCCCCCTCCTTCCACGCATCGATTTGTTAAAGATCTATTCTTTCCATTTGCAGACGAGATTCGCTTCCATTCGTCTCTCCACCTCTTCTTCCAGCACGAAGATTGATCGGAAACTTTGGCCTTTTTCACCTGGAAGAGCTCGAGCTGGTTTCAAGGTTCAGGCCTTCTTCAATCCGTTCGAAAGCAAGCCTATCGTCAAAGAAGCTCTCAAGGTGTTTGTTAATTTGCGTAAAAGAGTTGGACTTGCAAGGAAATAACTTTTTGATATAGCTTGTTTTTTTCTTCTTCTTGTTCAGGAGCCGGTGGCCTTCTTGGGTGGGATGTTTGCTGGTCTCCTGCGGCTGGATCTGAACGAGGATCCCCTCAAGGAGTGGATTGAAAGGACCGTTAAGTCTGCTGGACTAAATCCTGAAGAAGTGGAGTCGAAGTTAGATGGGGATGAAGATTTGCCTCAGCTGATAGAGATTGAATGAGTTTCTTTGTTTGGAATTTGGCGAGCGGGCTGTGCTTTTGGCTATATTGACAATGTATGTGATGCTTGCGTTCTGTGCTGAAGTAATGTTTCTTTTAGGGGTTGTTTGGCTGCAAGGGGGATTTAGTACCATAAATCTGTAATCCACCCATCTCTTCGATTTAGTAAATCTGAATTCAGGCTGAATCAAAGGCAAATTTGGATTTACTAAATCCAAAAATTTGTAAAATTATGGAACTCCTGCATTTTGTTGTTAGGCTGGATTTAGTAAATCCAGTGATAAATACTATTAAAACCCTTTTACCAAACAACCCCTTAGCATGATATTGCTTTCCAATATATGTTGGTTTTATATCAAGCTTAATTCAAATTGCTTTTGTACAGCTATGGCATGGTTTTGGGCTTTTTCTTGCATTGGTATTTACTTGGATATCTTTATTATTCATTGCTATCATGTAACATTTATGGATATACATGCTAGATCTTTTAGTTTTTCTTGCATTCTCGTTGCTACTAATCTGCCTTTAACTTGTTATTTAAGTTGTTTGAGTGCAGAGTTACGTTAAACTCGGATAAAGTTGTTCAAAAAGATACAGAAAAAAAAAAATATCTAGGGCCTCATTCATCTTTCAACCTGAACACATAAAAAAATTAGGAATCATAAAGACAAATAGGGGCGGAACTAGCCTATTGTTTTTTAGGGAGGCAAATTGCTCTCCTGGATCCAATGTGTGAAGGGCTAGGGTAACGAAGAGCAAAGTGTATTTCATGATGGGCAAAACTGATATTTCAGGTGGGGAAAAAACCAAGTTCTCTTCCCATACAAGTAAAAATTTGAATTTGAGGGGTGGGTGGCAATTGCCCCCTAGACCCTACCCTGGTACGCCCTTGAAGACAACCCCGAGACTCCAAGAGTTAGGATTAGGTGAATGATGGTGGTGTGATTAACGTATTGGTGCTATTTCATGAAATTAATATTTCTTTTGTTTTCATTTAGTTCACTCCTAAATGATATTATTGAAATTCGATAGGGGCAGCTGAATTAGAACACCCATCAATGACGACATTATGAGAGATGTAGCAAGATGTAGTTTATTTTTGACACCATATTCTTTATATTTAGTTTAAGGACACTTGATTAGCTGTTATATAAAAAATAACTTGTGCCTTGTACTTCGTTCTATATCATTTAAGTTTGCTTCTACTTGTTTAGCCGAAGGTGTAATTTCTAGTTATTGTTTGGGTCGTTGTGGGAAATAAGTCAAAATTATTATTTTAGGAAAGTGCTAGATTTAAACATTGTAATTTGATTTTTGGATATTCCCCCATTCTTTTAGGGGGAATGGTGAGTATCAAAGTGCAAATGGTAATAAGATTAGTATAAATTAGTGCGCTTGAACTTCAACATGTGACGAGGAGGAAAAAACTCACAACTGCTTAGCCATAGATTTAATCTATATCCTCTTTATATATCTCTTCTTTATTCTTTTTTGCTTGTATATTGGTATATATATTCAGTCAATAGTATAAAACACAATATTTTCTCTAACATGTTATTATAGTTAGGTCGGCTACCACAACTGTTGTTCTCTATCTCTTACTTTGTGCAATTTTTCAGCCTCCTACAACACTTATTTATAGCTACTCGCTTTCACTCTTGCCTCCCCCTGCACCTGCAACAAATTATCCATTTGCGGTTTTACACCTTTTGCTGCTTTCACTCTTGCCTCCCCCTGCACCTGCAATTAATGCTCACCTCACAACAAATTATCCATTTGCGGTTTTACACCTTTTGCTCTCGTAGGCTACAATCGCCCCATAACATTGATGTCACTCTCTTTTGCTCTTATATTTATCACAATGCGAGGCTTACATTAGTGCCACATGTGTCACAAACAATGACCTCTATTGGCCCCTAATCTAACAAGCCTCAACCCACACACAACACTCGCTCTCTTTTACCACAAATTAATTCTATAATTGTCTCATCTTTGCCCTTTTCTTGTCTTTACCCTTGATGGTTTTCGTTTATGACCTCTTCTATTACTCTCAATCTCATATAGAAAAGCTGGTCTATGATTGATAGTTCAATGAAGCTAAATGGTGCTAATTATCTTCTATAGTCTTGTGCTTTTTGTTTCCTCATGGGATTGTATGAGAAAAACTTAACTATATTGACTTAACGCCTTTAAAGTATATGAACAGCACTTATTACACTAAATGATAGGCATTTGACTATGCCGTTCTCACCTTGGTGCCCAATAGTCTTGAACCAAATTTTGTATTTGCCATCATATTCCAGGGAACAACCAAAGAAACGCCAGGTTTTATTTGTCCCACTTATTTTCAAGATGGCAACATCTCTTGGATATATACCCCTTGCTATGAATTTTTCTTCATGAAACAATGTGAAAATCTATTAAAAATAATATATCTCCCTGAAAGAATATTATGTTGAATTTTTTCTATCACTCATTACTGTTGATCTCACTACTTAACATAAGCAGAACAAGTAGTTTCTCATTATGAGTTAATCTTCGGCTTCACTCATCCAATTATTCATTTGAAAGTCAAAAGTAGATAGAAATGATTATAACATTTATTCTAGAATTGAGCAAAATTTAGTTTCAATAATCATCTACATTAAAATAAAATCACAAAGACAAATGTCAAAATAGTCCACCGACCCTTTGCAGGGTCATTTTAGACATATAGTTTATAAAATTACCAATTTTCTACTTGGTCTTTTTTAAAATGGGCTGAAATATTCCCCCACAAAGGACTATTTCAATTATAACTTAAAAAATAGAGACTAATTTGACACTTTTGCAGACTTTGGGACTAAAATGACCTCGTTTAAATAGTCATTGGACTATTTTGACACTTTACACTAAAATGACAATATTCAACTATTGGGCACTTCATTTAGTGTCCATCTACATTAAGTCACAATTAATATCATGAAACTATTTTCACTGCATTTCATCATTGTATTTTTTACCTTTATAAATTTAAACTTTAAACTAGTTTCAGTTGGTCCTTAGTCATTTGACAGTTGGTCCTTAGTCATTTGACAGTTAAAATGAATTGATTAGTTTGAGTATTTTAAGATTGAGTATTTTAAGAACTAGAATCAAATCAACTTACATTAGAATTGAAACATTTGGTTTATATTAAGAACTAGAATCAAATCAACTTACATTAGAATTGAAACATTTGGTTTATATTAAGAACTAGAATCAAATCAACTTACATTAGAATTGAAACATTTGGTTTATATAAGTTTTTTTTTTTTTTTGCATTCCCTTATTTTTACTATTTCTAGGACTGAAAATGAACCAATGCATTCCATGAATAGCTCAAACTTGACTTGATTAATATTTCTTCAAATTTGTTCAAATTAGTAAATAAATAAGTTTGAACATTCTTTAAAAGCTCGACAGTTAAATGAATCAAACTTAAATATTGTCCAAATTATTTACTTATGTTCACAAACAAACTTATTTATTGTTCAACAAACAATTTGTTAAATGCTCTATGTAAGTTCGATAATAACTCATAGCATAATTAAAATAAAATTTAATTAATTAGAACCTATTTAATTATATATTTAATTTTAACATATTATAATTTAATATTAATATGAATTAGAATTTTTAAAATTTTTTATTTTTTATTTTAATGAAATAATTTGTTAGAAATTTTTTTATATTTTTCTATTGTTAGATAGCTTACTTGCAACTTATTATTGTCCCATTTAAGTTACCTAAATTAGTTATATATTAATTCAAAATTTATTCAATTACTTATTTATTTAAATTTGTAAAATATTTGTTCATAATTTGTTTATTAACCCATTGAAATACTCCAACTAATATAAATAAATCAAATATAAGTTTACTTTCATTTTTAAAAATCTTAATCAAGAAAGTATGAATATATATGTGATTGTTTAACTCAAGCTTCAATTGAATATGAACAACTTATAATATAGTCAAACTATGTCCAATTCAGGACATACTTTGCTTGAACTGGCTCGATTATTACCCTAACTATCGCCTCTATTGATTCTATTTGTACTCATTTCAATTCGTTCTCTTTTCTCTAAGAAGAATATTATCGGCTACTGGTATTCTCGCTTGACTTTACATGTAATTTGCTTTTTTGGTATGACTGCAATTGCTTATTTTATTAAATATGGAGTTTTAGATTTATGTGCTTTTTTTTTCCAATTTGACTGGCAATTAACAATAATTTTCATCACTCACCGTGACTTTTCACCCTCTTTTTATTGTTATAGAAGGATCTCACTCCTATCTTTTTAAAAGGATCTATCAACTCATCACCTTTGACATCAAATAATAACATATTTTTTTGTAAATCTTTTTCTATATATTGCATCATGAAATCTATTAATATTTCATAATTTTTTTATCTTTCTCACTATGTTTATCTTAGTATGAAAAACAAGATTGGTGGAGATGTTGAAGTTGAAGTAACTTACTATCTTTTGGATGCTTTTTTAAGTACCTTGTCATGGTCTATTACTTCACCTTATCAATGACATTATTATATTGGTCGCTTTTCCCACCCCATCTTCAAGGTTGAACACATGTTTCTTCTTATGTTTTCAAATTTGAATGTGGAGCTTATGAATGTTGTGAAAAACGACGGTAATAAAGCGAAAAAATAGAACGAGAAAAATTACACGCAGTAAAAAACACCAGAGCGACACATAGATTTACGTGGTTCGACAAATTTGCCTGCGTCCACGGAGCTGCAGAGGTTTACCACTTTGAGGAATTACACCGTCAAACACATCGCGTTTACAAGAAAATCTCTATTTTCTTCTCTCCCTTCCTCTCTCTCTCTTTCTGGTTTGACCTTGCTTGGCTTTGCTTAGCTTGAGGCTTGACTTTCCTTTAAACCAAAAGAGACTATTTATAGAAACCATGAGAGCGATAGGTGAGAGGTAGGTGAGATGTGGTAGGTTAGCAGTAGGTGGGTGTGGTAGGTGGGATACTTAATTAAGAAGCTAATTAAATTCGGTGGACCGGGTCTCCACATTACCCAACAATTCTCCCACTTGGAGACTGGGACACTGAATGCATTACCTACTAGCTGCATCATCTACTAGCTATACCGATCTTTTCCTCAAACATGCTATCCTTCACCTCTGCAACTCGAAGCCCCTGTCTTCATGCCAGAAGACCAACTAAAATTGAGCACAACTTCAGCTTCTCACAAGTCACACCCTCAGTTGACATATCACCGTCAACGTAGCCTCGTAACACCAAGCTCTTTCCTGGGTTACTCTTGTATTTGCTTACAACTCCCACTGCATGAGCAATATCCTGCCCCTGCTGAAATCCCTTTCCAAGAA